AATTACTGTAGAAATAAATTTTTTAGTTATGCAGGTTTAGGCAAATTTTTGTACGAGTGATGAACGGGAAAGAGTTTGACCTATGCTCACATATATAAAAGGTGGAATTCCAGCGTGTTGCTATATCAAGAATCAGCTTTAATGTATTAGATAACTTTAACTGTTTGCAGCATCTTCATAATCCTCTAATACTTTTTATTAACTCACATAACTAAAAGTAATATAAGTATAAAAAAAAAAAAAAAACATTCTAATACATGTCAACACTTTAACTATTACAAAATATTAAAATTTTAGTATAACGATAACGACCTTTTCTACTTCATTTCCTGCAATCTTTAAAATACACTAGATAGCAAGATTTAAAATATGATTAAAGCAGCATATTGATTGTTGAGTATTATCAAACCTAAAACCAATCGTTTGTATAGAACGAGAAAAATCACGCAAAAACTTTATATTGGCAGATGCGTTATCACAAGTTATTGATATTAATTTTGATAATATTCCATTTTTTTGAAGACAATTTTCCATAGCCTTCGCAATTTTAACACCCGTATGAGAATCTTCCATAAAAATAAAATCAAGCAAAATGTTTTTTATTTCCCATGATTGATTTAAATAATGAATTGTGACAGCTATGAATGACTTTTCATTAGTAGAGGTAGTCCAAATATCTGTTGTTATCGCAATACGTCCAGAAACTTCTTGCAATTTTTCTTGAAGTCATTCTCAAAATTATTCATAATATGTCATTTAATTAGGTTAGCAGAAGGTACTAAAAAAAAAACTCTAAGTATTTATTTTTCCATAATATTAATATATTAAATATACTATCTAATGCTATTTTTACTAACTATAGTAGTTTCTAAGTAAGTAAATATAGATCTAAGTTCATTGTCTTCAATGATTTGAAATGATCGATTATGTTTTACGATCCACCTTTTTATCATACCAGTTAATTTTTGTTGGCTGAAGGGTTCATGTTGACAGGTATAATTACTTATCATTTCCAAAATACTCATACCTCTCTTTACATTTGATTCCACTAGTTTAGGCACTTTATGCCTTCTGAGATGTCTTAGAAGATTCGATATTGTACCATTGCTATAGACTAGCAAATTTTTACAAATGCTACACATAGCACTGCCTTTCGCTTTTTTAAAATATTGCCATACTATAGATCTATAAAATAAATCAAGAATATAAATTAAAATTCAATTAATAAATTAAATAAATTAAATAAATAAATAAGTTAATAAATAATAAAGAATAATAATAGTAAAGCTTTTTTATATATATTACCCTTCATTTGAAGAAGTTTCATCACTAGTTGGTCCTGCTTGGGTTGATGATTCAATTGGGAAGGATTCATCTTGTTGTGGTTCATCTTGACAAGATTTATCTTGATAAGATTCATCTTGAATTAATTCATTTAGGTACAGTTCATCTTGGTCCAGATGCAAATCACCTGAGTAAAATTCACCATAGTACTGCTCATGTTCTTCATATTCATCTTGAGAATGTGATTCAGTTGACATTGAAAAAGTTTAAAGCATAAGATAAAATAAAAGAATAGCTTAACATATGCTGTAATTAAAGGGAAAAATAAAAAAATAAAAAAAAAGGCGTCTAAATGCCAAGTATTTATTTTTTTAATTTTTTTTTTTTTTTTTTTAAATACAGGCTTTTTCTTGAAAAAAAAACTATAATAAGAGTAAAAGTTTTTTTCATAGGGGTCTTCACAAGCTTTTTTTTAGCTTTTTCTCATACTTTTCTTATGCTTTTTTTTTTTTAAAAAAATGCAAGTTTTGAAGTTTTAAAATGCAGGTTTATGTGCTAGCTTTTGCTAAATATAGGTCTCCACCTTTTTTTTATATATTGTTATTGTTATTGTTGAATGCATTATGGGTCTTATATTGTTATTTTAGACCCAAATGCAAATGGCATTCTTTGTTCATTCAGGTCATTCTAGCTTAATAAAGCTTGGTTTAAAAAAAAAGTCAGCTAATCAGCGTATAATATTTAATGAACCAGGCGGATTGGGTATTACTCGGGTGGATCTTCATGTGGGTCCAAAACTATATCGATTCTTACAAATCATAGGTCTGAACTCGGTCCATTAATGAACCGGCCCCGGATCTTTTGCAGAACACTATACAGTATAATGTTTTATAACTTATAGCATTTATAACGCAACTAACCTCATATGTCATAGAATTATTATCATAGTTATCTTTTGTTTGCATAGAAGAATCTAACACAAAATCTGACATAACTTCATCCTAATTTAAGTATAATTATTAATTATCGTTTTAAAACTTTATTAACAAATTAATACTAATTTACCTCATATATTATAGAAGATTCATCTGTATA